TTCCTTCTATGATCATCCTGGGCCAACTTTCAGGGGAGTGAGGATGACCATGTGGATATTTTGGAAGTCGGACTACCATGCTGCTCTTCGTTAGAGGTGCACGGGATTCCCTAGGAATGGAAGCATCTTTCCCTCCTCTGTTTTGGGGGTAATAATGGTGAAGGCCTATTGAGATAAATCAATGAAACACTCAGGTTAATGAAGGAAGACCTTTTGGGAAGAGAGGGCAGTTGAACACTATGCAGCGAAAGAGACCATCCATGTTAGCTGCTGCCCTTTTATGATGGACAAAACAAACAATAGGCACTTGTATCAGTTCTTTGTCAATGAGATATAAATACTTGGTCATATATCAAGCTGGTTTAATCACAAAAAGGAAGAAATGCAGTTTTGGTTTTAACGTGTTATAGGTAAAATTAAGATTTAGGTTTTATAGATACTTGTTATAACATCTAGTGTTATGACAAACAAACTTGCATTCATTCTAAACATTTGGCTTATAGAATTATACTTGAAAGAAGTCTTAAATAGCATTCAGTAGATGTTTAAGAAAGATTATTGTGTGGCTGATCACTAAAAATTGCAAGCTTTTTTGGCAAAATTTTTCTTTTAATGATGATGATGTAATTTTCAGCAAAACTTTAGGTAATTGATTACTAATTCTAAACACTTCAGCTGTTCAGGGATTTTCTAATGTATATGCATAAAAACATAACATATGTTGCACAATTTTTAAGGAATTTTAAAGAATTTAAAAACTTGATCAGAAGAGTAAGCCAAACTAAGCTAATCATAAAAATATACAATCAAAATGTCAAGATTTACTGCAATTAAATATTTTTAAAACAAAACATTTATATCTTATACAGTGAATTATACCTTGTTTTCATTCTTAAAATTCATAATTATCTAAAGTGACAGAATTTTAAAAAGCATTGTTCATTGATACTGTGCAATATACCAACATATGTTTAAAAATTCAATACATACTTTTGTCACAGAAACAGGAGATAAACACGTCTGGCCACCAGCACTGAAATTGCAGAAAACCTCAATGGCATCTGAAGGACACCCAAGATTTGGATCAATCCAGTATTTTCCTATTAATTTATAGTAAAACACAAAGTTATTTAAATGCCATGCTAAAATATATTTGAACCATCTTTATAAATTATGATACTTTAAATATATATTATCATAGTTTTACCCGTTAAAAAATTTAAAAGATTATAAATATATTTGCGTTAAGTGAATGACTGAAAGCTACAAGCATTATATAAAATCGGTACTAAAAATGCTCTATTTTTCACATACCTATCAATTTCAGGGCATTTCATAATTTTAATCAAAATGACAGAATGGCTTAATTTATTGCTTCATTCCACAGATAAAGAACATGAGCTCAGCAACTAAAAGTGAATTGCTTGAAGTTATATCGCTAATAGAAAAGTTGGACTTATGAGAGTGTATATATATATTTCTATTATTAGAGGAGCTGTACACCTATAGGAGCTAATAATAAATTCTTTATGAAAGGTTTTCCACCAAGCAAACTCTTGCTACACAGGGTAAAATGCTTTGAATTAAGGCATTATGTTGTCTAATGGTGAACTGGTAGGGGTTTCATCATTTCTTTCAAGGTAGGCTGAGCTATAACATAAAGTCCTATATCATAATATATCTTTTGTGAGCCTAAATGTTCTGACTCAAACTCGCTCTCCCCTGAGGACACTACTCCCCTTGCAGCCTCTACAGTATTGTGCTTGACAATGGAAAGGTGTCTTTTGTGCTCTTCGTTGCTACTTCCAGACCATTCTTGCCACTTTCTCCCTGAAAACACTACATGTTGAAATTCTTTTATCACATCATATCTACCACTCATTACCCTTCCTGGTGCTGGGTGCAATCATTGATATTTTTCTTTGAAGAGTTTTAGCTTCTGGCTTGCTATCATATTCAGAAAACCTATGAATGACCAAATTCTTGGTGATTTTAAACCCATATGGATGATTCCTCCAACCTTAGCCTCTCAATTCCTTAAACTCTCCTCCACCCCCTTACTTTTCTACCAATGATCTTGTACCCTCTCCCTAACCCCTTATCTTATTTACTAACATCCAAGGCCATGCCATAGCCTTTAATTATCTACATCTGCATTTCCTCCAGAATTTCACCTCTCTTCTCTTTCCAGCTCACTCCTTCTAGAATTCTGACCCCAATAATTTTTTTTTTTGTCTCATCAGGACCTACTCTCCATTGATATTACCACTTTTTCATTGTCCTCATGATCACGTGTCCCTCATGATCACTTCTTCCCTTCTTACCCAGCTTAAAAATCACAGTCTTTTACTATAATCATTTCCTTAGAAACTTTTTTAATGCCCTTGCCCTACCTTACTTCGTTGTACTTGTCTTATAAATTCCCAACCCTACCTAAATTCAGTTTTTTGCCTAATCTGTGACTGTACCTGCACAGATAAATGTGGCTGGAGAAAAACACAACTGTGCTGATGGACCTCAATTTAATTTCAAATGTGTATATAAATCTGCTAGACAATAATACCATGTTTCCATATTCAATCCCTCTGTCACTTTTCTAGTTATCTATCTTAGACCTATTCAATCTTATTCTTGACTGATAATCTTCCAGTTTCACTGAGACAACTGAAGGAATCTGAAGAGAACTTAAATAAGCCCCCCACTATCTCATCTACCCACCTGTCTGTACTGGCACACATATATTCTGCATTCTCTCTTATAGTAAATAAACTGTGTTCCTATGTAAGACTTATCTTATTCATTATGCCTACAGATTTAAATTCTACCTCTCTCATTCTCTCTTTTGAGTCTGTTTCTGTCAGTTTCCATTTGTTGATTATTATAGTAAAGTATTACTTGGAAGAGAAGATATGTGTTTACCCTATTGGATAAAAGTGGAATCCTGCATCAGATCCTGAGAATTTCTACAAACTTTATAAAATGTTCAAAATTCTGAAGAAAAGGGACTAGGAGGGGTGGATTTATTTTTGCCCCCTAGCCCCACGAAGTCACCAAAAGTACCACTCAGCTTTTTAACATACCTAGGGCAAAGGTAGCTCTACGTGTTAGGTTAATCTCTCTGCTGTCTTCTTCAAAGTTTTGCTTGAAAGTTTCTCATTATTTGTCAGCTATTTTATGCTTTTAACTTTTTTTGTGAAAATTAATTTAGCCAGGTAATTTCAATTACCTGCTTCATTACTAGGAGTGAAAAGTCCCTACCTCCATCATATTCTCTTCAAATCTGATGAGGTTTTAACTACTACCATTACTCTGAACTGCTCTTGATGAAGGTCCTCAATGATCTCTGTACCGCTAAATCCAAAAACCTTTCTCAGTCTTCACCTTACTCAACATTGACCCAGTCGGTCCTTTCTTCCTCCTCGGGCAAATGTTTTCTTTGTTTGATTTCTAGTCTATATTTTGGTTTCTTGACATTTTTTTCACTTAATTTCCTACAACTCTCCCTCTTCTGCACTCTCTCCCAGTCACAGTGGTCTTTTTGCTAACCCTAGAACATGCTAGGTATATTCCCAGGCTCAGGGCTTTTGCATTTGTTCTTTCTGCCTAGAAAGCTCTTTCTTTAGATTTCTTGTGGCTTGCTCCCTTATGTCCTTCTGGTATCATTCAAATATCACATTCTCACAGATGCCTTATCTGGCTATTCTATTTAATTGCACCTTCCACTCTACTTTTTATCATATCCCCCTTCCCTGCTGTTTTGTTTTTCTCTATAGCACTTCTTGTCTCCTGGTGATGAAGTATTATGGAGCACAAAGACCATTCTGACACTTCACAACCCATACCACTTAGCTATTTCTCCTACAAGGAAGGCAGACTCTGAATTAGATTTCATACTGCTTTTGTATGTCTTATAATGTCTTTGTGCCTTTAAAATCTATAGCACCACATTTTTATACCCTCAAATACAGGAAAGAATCAAGCTTAGTGTTATTATAGGCAGCTACAATTGTAAATATTATTTTAGTTCTTATGTTTTTCTAAGGCAGGAAATATCTATAGAAATTAAGTATTTTATTGATATAAGTAAAATGAATATATTCATTGCACTTGTAGAATGGAAGAAGATGTTTTAGACAAGAATATGTATGTATGTGTGTATGATGTATATATATATACAAAATTAAAATGACCACTATTCACCGTATAGAATTACATAACATAGCTTTTTCAAATAACCATTTTTCAAATCACACATTTTTTCAAATTGGTCATTGGGTTAAGATTAGAGTTTTTAGCAATGACATGACATAATATGATTGCACAGCTGACCACAGACCAAACAGAAATGAAAATAAAATGACATACTATAGCAGACAGGGTTTCCCCTATTTAACTGATGAGTGCTCCTCTTGGTTTAAAACCTGATGATTCTAATTTAATTTATTTTTGCACCTCTGGTTAATGAATTTGGGGCATCTGTGTGGGGATAAGAAACTTCTAAGAATGAAAAACCATCTTCATAGTCATTAATTCTATGCCATTCTAGAATTTCAATGCCATTTTGTATAAAAACCATACTTCTAGGAGTGTGGTGAAGGGGATTCTATATCTTTCTTTATGCTGTTAACTTTGGTGGTTTTTGAATTACCAGGTCTGACAGGAACTGCTGTCTGTCAACCCAAAGGTCAATCCTGCCTATTTTAATTTTCAACAATTTTTATCATTTTGATAAAACCCTGGCAGAGGCCAATTTAATGTCATCAAGAATAAAATACTCTTAATATAACTAGGGGTGGGGCAACATTGGAAGCATATCTTCCTCTAAGAGTATTTTATTCTTGATGACATTAAAATGGCTTCTGCCAGAGTTTTATCAAAATGACTACCATTTGTAATGAAGGCATTGGCAAATCTCAAACACACTTAAATAATAAAAATGAAATTAGACATCAGAGTTTGAGGAAACCAAGAACTTACCATCTGATACTTTGTGTTCACAGTTAAGCAAATCTTTGCAGATTCGTGCTGGGTTATCTCGTGTGCCAAGAGGATTCTTGATGCTGTGCAATAAATTGCTAAGGTAGCTCAGGGTTTTGAATATCTCTGCACTGTGGTTGATTAAAGTCACTTCAGTATTCTGGTAGCTCTGCCAAGTCATCATAAGAATCATATAAGCAAAAAAACCCTAAGGACCAACATTGAGCAAGGCAGAAGAAAGATGTGTTCCTATTGTGTGTAGTGAGTTCGGGGCAGGATGTAAAGAACAGTTTATATTTAAGCATAGACAAATGTGAAGGCTTTATTAACCTTGTCCTAAATAAGATTAAATTCACACTTGATATTTTGGTTTTCAAGCTGAAATAAGAATTACTATGCCTACTATATAACATTTTTTAAGAACACACATTAATTAGAGTTTAAATAAGATAAATGAGTAGTGATGATAGATATATCCCATTTTAAGAATCATGTCTAATTTCATTTAACTATTTTCTTCAGTAGTACCAAATTCCTTACAAATAAATCCTTTAATATTACATTTTTGTTTAAATTATGTTCCTTACAAAACATTCTATGCATATATTTCTGTTTAATTATATTAAAATCACTTGCTTTGTCCTTGAAAATGGTTTCATATTTCCAATCTGGTTTAAGTACAATCTTTGGGATAATGCCACATTTTGGCCTCCAAAAAAATTAAATTTCTGTTTAATTTGTATATTGTCAGTGCCAATATAAATAAAACCAGATATATTACCTCCATCTGTAGGGCAGTATTTGATTCAATCAAGGCCTGAATAGCAGCATTGATATCCATTTGTTTCTGTGTAAAACAAAACCATTTGAGATCAGCAATAATATCAACACTGAGTGCTCTAAAGTAAAGGCTGTAAATTCTGAAAGCACTGCTGTTAAAGTATACTAGACTTATTATCTGAAGGGTGTTTGTAACTCTTATGGTTAGACAGATTTTTTAAATATTGCCTAGTTATCTGAAAGGACAATATGCTGCCTTCATCCAAATCTCAAAGGCCTCCTAATTAAAATAGGACCAAATTCTAGAGCTCTCAAATGAAAAACCATTTGTCTCTGCTGCATGAAAACACACACAGAGTTACTCAGATGGAAGAGAATGAAATATGATTCCCCTCAGTTAATAAATTGTAAAGTGAAGAATAAATAACTGTAGTAGTTTTTAACAGTTACATTCTTGGAAGAAAAATAGAATAAAATACTACTGTCCTGAGGTAGTCACCACATTAGTTTAATGTGATACTTTTGTGGTCTTAAAAATAATTTCTGAAGTTGGAAAATGTTCCATTAGTCCCCAAAGAAATAATACAGAATGAATTCAATCTCCTCCTGCATTTAATAAAAGATATTTTTAGAGAAAGACTCAGCATAACCATTAGTAAAAGTCTTTTTTATAATTTTTTTTTTAAGAAAATAAGCTTGGAAACTAAGAAGCATGAGTTGGGACAAGCTTCTGGGAAAAAGCCTCTGTGTAAGTGAACCAAGTGATCTCATTTCTTTCAGAGTGATTGTCCTGCTAAGGTATCTTTTTACTTGGAGGTCTGTATAATAAAAACTGTTTTCAACAGATCTCTCATAACTCATGGTTGGTAATTTGAAAAACTATTTAAAATGATGGAACAATCGATAAAATGCCGTCTTCCCTGCCTCAACATGTGGTTTTCATATTGGAAAAGAATTGACTCATTCTGCATATATATACTGCCAAACACTGATATATACTGAGGATAAAATGGTAAGCAAAAGAGAAAATTGCCTTTATGGAGCTTCAGTTTAAAGGGGAGAGAGGGATTAATCAAATCACCTCAAAAACACGTAATTACAGATTGTGATATATTCTATGAAAGAAAAGTACATGAGCCTATGAGAGAAATTAAAGTCAATCAAATCTGGAAAATTTAAGAAGTTAAAAGAAATAGTTCAGGGAAGGCTTCCCTGAGGTAGTGACATGAGAGCTAACATCATAAGAATAAATAAAAATTGTTAGAGGAAGGGGTAGGAGAGCTTTCCAGGCAAAAGAAACAATCTTACACAAAGGCTATGAGACAGAAGGAGCATGGGATATTTAAGAAACAGAAAAGATTAGCCTAAAATGTTCTCTGAAGATTAAGTAATTCTCATCAACTTGCTTGTGTGAATGGGCAGGTTTTGGATATGTGTCACACAAAAATCTTGGCACTAAATATGGGAAACTGAATTAAGTGCCAAACACTAGCCACCTTTATATTTTCCACTTGGTCCTCTGTTGGTGATTAAGGGCTTTAATCAGAAAACCTAGCAAAGTTGTTCTCAAACTCTTCAGAATCAGGATCCTTTTGCACTTTTAAATATTATTAAGGGCCTTTAAAAACTTTTGTTTATGTGAGTTATAACTTTTGATATTTACCATAGAAATCAAAACATAAATTTTAAAACTATTTATGTGTTAACTGCTTTAAATAACAAACTCATTACATATTAATTAAATAAAATATTTTTATAAAAATTGTATTTTCAAAAACAAAAAGTGGGAAGAGTGGCTCTGTTTTACACTTTTGTACGTCTCTTTAATGTCTGGATTAATAGATAATGACTAAATTCTCATATTTGCTTTTCTACTCAATTGGTCATGGTATGTTATTTTAGTTGAAATATATGAAGAAAACCTGGCTTCATAGAGACATGTGGTTGGAAAAAGAGGAGTATTTTAGTAGCTTTCTTCAGATAATTATGGATTTTCTTCTTTGATGCTATACCCAAACTTGACAAGTAGTAGTTTCCTAAAGGTTAGTTGCAATATGAAAACTGAACCCACACCAATGAACTTTTTGTACTCTTTTACATTAAGATCAACGGTCATCTTATACTTTGGTAGAATCTTTTTCCTGTGCTTGATTTTGTTAACATTATGCATTGATCATTCAGAGAATACTGATTCATGGGATTACAGAGATCTTTCAAATACTGGCAAATGTCATTACTTAATGTTAAAAACGACATTTGTTAACATAATTGCTTATGAGAGAAATGTAAGTACTAGAAAGCTGTCAAATTCATAGTAATAGGCACAAGTTTTCCCCAATTTGAATTTTTTACTTGAATGCTTAAAATTTATCATTGGCATCAAATTCTGTCAGTTGTTTTCCTTTTTCTTTTTTTTTGAGACAGAGTCTCACTTTGTTGCCCGGGCTAGAGTGCTGTGGCGTCAGCTTAGCTCACAGCAACCTCAAACTCCTGGGCTCAAGCAATCCTTCTGCCTCAGCCTCTCGAGTAGCTGGGATTACCAGCATGCACCACCATGCCAGGCTAATTTTTTTAAAATATGTATTTTTAGTTGGCCAATTAATTTTTTTTTATTTTTTAGTAGATACGGGGGTCTCACTCTTGCTCAGGCTGGTTTTGAACTCATGACCTTGAGTGATCCACCTGCCTCGGCCTCCCAGAGTGCTAGGATTATAGGCATGAGCCACCACGCCTGGCCAGTTGTTTTCCTTGAAATGGCAGGCTTACTTCATTCATTTTCAAGAAAGCTTCTGTCAAATACTCATTTCTTAATAACATTGGTAGCAACACTGGTAGTCACATGTACTCACCATTAAATTGGAACTAACTGATCAACACTTATGTGCATATGTAGAAATATTAATAATATTCATCAGAAATCAAGCAGGTGGGAGAGGGAAGGAGAGGATGGGTAAATTCACACTTAATGGTTGCAATACAATCTATCTGGGGGAAGAGCACACTTGTGGCTATGACTCAAATGCTACAAGGGCAATTTATGTAACCAAAATGTTTGAATGCCCATAATATTCTGAAATAAAAAAAAATAACACTGGTATTCTGTCAAGTAAAAATGATATTCCATGATAAAAGCAGTTAGTTGACTTTGCAACTCAAACAGTTGTACAGAGCTTTCACTTGAGGCAACTATTAAACTTCAGTGTGTAGCATAAGTGCTTTATATGTTCTTCCATTTTATCACACAGAATATTAAAAAGATCTATACTCAAGATGAGAGATTTAGGAGACAGCAAAAATGGTGGAGTAAGGACCTCCCAGAATTCTCTCTTCTATAAATGCAATGAGAAATGATAAAACTGGCAAAAATTGTCACCGAGTTTTCAGAATTATAGAAATTAACAAAATGCTGGAAGAAATCTGAGGAGCATTTATTTTTCCAAAAAGAGCTGACTCAGCTTTATGAAATTTTAACTTGCCCGGTTCCCATGCTCATCTTTCCAGCTCTGTAGTAATCTTGAAAACTGTTATAGTTTCTGGGGGCCGTTGTTTTGGACCAGCCTCCTCCACTAGGCCCCAGAAGACCAGATCAAACCAGAATGGAGTTACTTGTGCTAAGTACCATGTATAATCAAATTGAACTTTGAAATGGGCCAGTTTTCTAAAGATCAGGAGATTCCAGTCAACCTGAGTCAGGGAATGAGGAAGTCTCCTCTCTGTTTTGAACCTATAAAGAGAGTAACTTTGAAATGACTGATCTTCGTTTGGTTTTTTATTTCTGCTTTCTTCAGCTCTTTTAAGCCAATCCCCTTTGCTCAGCCATTGGAACACTCATTCTATTTTATAGAATGAAGTGTTGCCTGATTCTGGAATCTCAAATAAAATCCAATTAGACCTTTAAACTAAATTTGTTGTAATTTGTCTTTTGACAAAACTAACAGCCTGCCATCACAATGAAAACCACCAGCCTGATAGCCATGGGAAGAAACAGAATGGGGTTGGCATTATTTCAAAGACTCATTTCTAGGGAATTGTCATTATATGACCTGTCTGGTGGCTTCCTGGAAGTCACCATGTGCAAGTCTGTCTTTATGTTCCCTGACTCAGATCATCAATGCAAAAAGCCTTTTTCCAAAAACATTTAGAGAAAATTGTTTGACTCTGGCTGCCAGAAGCATTAGAAAACAATTGGAGAAAACAATAGGCTAACCAAAAAGCTTACAAAAAAAAGTTGGGAATGAGATGTCCATAGAGATTTTGAAAAGCTCTGACATATTTCTGGGACTCTAGAAATCCATGCAAATGCATAGGGCTGTGCATATATTTAGGAAAGACCGAGAAGGCCCTAAGCTCTCCCTTCTAACTGACTTTGAGGCACAGGCTCTGTGACAGCAGACATGAAGGCTAAGGCATAGTTGTAGTTGTCAATTGACTGGCTTAGCATTGAAGAGGAGCCCCAGTGTGCACACAGACCCCCTTGGCAAAAACTGAGAGGGTTACCGGTTAAGAAAATCACTTAGGAAGTCTCTTAAGAAAATTATTAATAGCTGCCCACTAAGCTAACTGAGCAGAGATGCCATTTGCTCACACATGTCAATGAATATAGATTTTATAAAATTCAGAAAAGTCACTAAACAAACAATAACAATAAAGAGCAATAACACCAAATTTAGGGTTGGGGGAAAAATCTGATTTCTAGAGATGCCACATTGTATTATTTAAAATGTCCATTTTTCAACAAAAATATTATAAGACATGCAAAAAAATATGAAAGTATGACCCATATACAGGAGAAAAAAGCTATCAATAGAAACTGTCCCTGAGGAAATCCAGATGTTAGACTTAGTAGACAAAGACTATAAGTTAGCTATTTTAGGTATATTCAAAAAATTAAAGGACATCATGTCCACAAAAGTAAAGTATGACAAACATGCCTTACCAAATAGAGAATGTAATAAAGGGACAGAAATTATAGAAAAGAACCAAATAGAAATTCTGGAGCTGAAAAGTACAATAACTAAAATGAAAATTTACTAAATAGGCTCAATAGTAAATTTCAGTAGGCTGAAGAAAGCATCAGTTAACATGAAGATAAGTTTGTTGATATTACCCAGTCTGAGGAGTAGCAAGAAAACAATAATGAAGAAAAATGAACAGGGACCTAGAGACCTATCAGACATTATCAAGCATACCAACATATGCATAATAAGAGTTTCAGAAGGGAAGGAGAGAGAAAAAGGGGCAAAAACATATTCAAATAAATAATGGCTTAAACCATTCCAAATGTGATGAAAAATATTAATCTACACATCTAAGAAGCTCCACAATCTTCCCTAGGCACATGATAATCAAACTATTGAGTGCTTTCCAGGGGTTGACAAACTTTTTAAATAGGGGGCCAGTTCACTTTTTCTCAGACCATTGGAGAGCGCGCACTGTGGGCCCGGGATGAGTCGGCTGCTAAGCAGGACAAGCAGTGGTGGCAAAAACACCCAGAGGGCTGGATAAATGTGCTAGGCGGCCTGTATATGGCCTTCAGGCCATAGTTTGAGGACGCCTGATTTAGACAAAGAACCTTGAAGGCAGAAAGAAAGGAGACTCATCATGTCCAACAGATCCTCAAGCAGATTAATAGCTAATTTCTCACAAAAACCATAAGGTGAGGGAGTAGTGGAATAACATATTCAGAGTGCTAAAAAAAAGACTATCAACTAAGAATTTTATATCCAGTAAAGATCTCCTTTAAAAATGAAGGAAAAATGAAGACATTCCCAGATAAATAAAAACTGAAACTAGCCTGGGCAAC